TAATCTGGCCTCCTCATTAACACATTTTTTTTTTTTTTTTTGTACCAGGGATTGAACTCAGGTCTTTGCGCTTGCAAAGCAGGCCACCAAACCGCTGAGCTAAATCCCCAGCCCAACACATTACTTTTTAGTGAAGAGAAAAAAGGAGAGATTTCTTCCCTGCAGTCACCTTCAGCCAGCATTAACCATCAGCTTAATTCTCAACTCCCTTTTTGGACAAAAGTTTCCTTCACTTGTTAAGCAAAATATCCCAAGCCATGTCTCCACATAGCTACTCTCAATTTCCTGTTTCAAGTCAAGTTCTTCCTTTACTTAATCTTCCAGTGGCTTTTATCACCTTTACTTTCAAACCCAAGTTCCTCACTGTGATGACAAAAGCCTTAGAGACTTGGCCACCGGCCACGGCTCCCACCTCAGGTGCTACTGTGTTTTCCTTCCCTCCCTCCAGCCGTGCTGGTCATCTTTCTGTGCCTCTCGGTTCATCAACACCCCCTCCCAGGGTTTGATGCTGGAGGCTCTCTTAGCCTGAAGCACACTCCCAACACTGGCTGCTTCTCAGGACTTGGTCCAGAAACCATCACCTCAGCGAGACCTTCCCTGAGCCTCTATTTCATCCTGCTGGTTTTCTCCACAGCTTTTATCGCTATCAAAAATCATTATTTATCTCTCCCCACAATAAAATGCATGAAGATTTTGTTGCTTTACTCAGGACATGCCTAGAGCATTGTCTGACACATAATAAGTCCTCAAAAAATATCTGTGGCGGGAAGTGGGTGAATGTTGTGTATGTAACAATGACACCAGTGCCACTGTAACTGAGGCACATACTTCGGATGGATTTTCAGAGCGGAAATAGGTGTGTTTTTCTGTCATCCCCTCTCTCCTCATGGGCTCCTGATTAAGCAGTGGCCCAACTTGATCAAGAGTCCAGGTCAGGATCTGAGGCACAGTATAAATGAACGGGACAGAGCAACGAGATTACACCAGCGCCCTCCCACCTGCGCTACTGACATGGCACCATGGGAAAACTGGAGGTGCATTTGTAACTCTTGCTTTGTTTAAACTCTCCATTCCCCACCAAAGCTAAGTGACTTTCTGACTGTTCTCACCAGGGACCATAAAATTAAGGAGATCTAATATGATGAGGCCGGCTGCAGCCTGAGCAGCCGTTCACCGCTGCTGGCAGCCTGAGGTGCAGCATACCTGTCATGAGGAACAGGAGGCCGGCCACATGCTGGGTCAGACTTTCCTCCCAGAAGAAGCTGACAGTGGCCACGATGCAGCCGCACAGCAGGACGGCCACCGCCATGCCCAGGAAGCCAGCAGTGATTCTTCTCAAATCTAATCCCAACACAGAAACAGACATCTCAAGTCAGAAAAAGAGTCAGGGCAGTGAAAATTATAGAACAGAGAGATTTATACACACTGTGAACATGACTGAGCTACACAGACAGGCTTTGAGACCACAGGGTGAGGGGAGTTGGGGAATTCTCTCCCCAGGTGTCTATATAAGAGGACAGGTGGGCATAACAAGGCTGGGTCAGTCTGCCCCTTTGCAGCCACGGAGAAGTCCAAGTTCAGGGCAGTTTACTCCAGTTTATCTTTATGGTAGAGAAGTACTCCATTAGGTGTAAACACCATATTTCTATTGATAAGTAGGTAGGCCATTTCCACAATAAAAAAGATAACAATTTACTCCACAGTAAACTTGGATAATAGAGATAAATTATTGAATTGAGTGAGTGATAGGTTTGAGAAACATTTTCTTTAGCCTTAAAAGGGCAATGGAAATAAAGGCTACCACCACGGTAGTGGCTGCGACTAATGTGACTTTAAAGGAAGAGCCTAAAAAGTGAGCTACAGTGAAATGGGGGTTTGTCTGAACATCATGGGTGCCAATGATTTTTTATTTACCATTATTCCTGCCCATTTAGGATTGTGGGGAAGGAAACAGTGAGTCAAAGTGCACACATGAACGCCCTCTTCCCTAATCCAAGTACCTTTAGCCAAATACCTATTTACCCAGGCTGAGGAATTATCTCGATGGTCCAAGTCCCCACTGCACACCCAACTGCCAAGTGTGGTCCACTGCCCAAAATGACGGCCACCATCTGATACACTTTCCCTGCACTCGCTAGCACTCAACACTCAGATGCCTACCTTCTGGATATTTTACTTTCTTCTATGTCCTGACTTTTTTTTTAAAAACAAAACTAGCAAAATATTTTTACCTAAAACGTATAATTTTTATGAAGCTTCTTAAAACAATAGATTCCAAGCATATATCTGCTGTCCTTTAGGTTCAGGCAAAGTGCATGTGGACTAGGAACATGCAGAAGCACATGGAACCAGGAGCAGACTCACAGTCCACTATCTCAAGTGTGGGCTTCTCTGCTCATGGGGGAGATGCCAGGCTGCTGCCACTTTGTGGTACACAGCTCCTGGGCATGGCAGGGGTGCTGTGTGGAGAACAGATTACAGCAGCTTCCTTTCTCACGCTTAGCATCGCAGCCAAACACATTTCTTAAAGAGATTCCTTATTTCCAGCCCGGAGGACTCAAATTAAAAGAAAACATCTCTACTAGAAAGGAAATGTAAATAACACAGAGCGAGGGGCCAGGACAGTCACGATTAAAGGATGCTAAGTTTAGTCTTACAGGTATAAGTAGCTTGGATATAATCAAATCTGAGCAGGAGGAATGTAATAATAGTTCAGCCCCTATTATCTTAAAGCTCCCAAAATCTCTGTGATTTGAATGATAGTTCTAAATTTTGTGACTACTAAAAGGCACACGGTTTGGATGTAATCCACATGAGATTTGCCTTAGCACCAGCTATGCTAACCTTACCTGGGCTGTTTCTTAGAAACAGCCAGGTCTGAGTCTGTTGAAAGCATCTTTCAGGGAAGCCCTGAAAAAATTTAAAGGAGAATGCTACACTGAACAACAGGGTTCAAACTTAGAGAAAAGATACACAGATCTCATGACAATCTTTCCTTACCTGACCAAGGTAAGAATACAGTCAGTAACTAGGCAGCTCATCTGGACAGGTGATTAACACCAAGACCTCCAAGCATGCTCATTAAGAAGTCCAAACACTTAGATGAGACTTTAACTTTGATCTGCTGAGAAGTGACTCTTAAAATATGCCAGCAAGAAAGTACTTTCGAGAAGTCACACCATTAAGATATAAACTGAATCTCATCCAAAGACTTTCCAAGTCTTAAAGCTTCCAGTCTTAATATTTACAATAGGAGACCACTGTCATGACAGTAACATTAGAGTTTCCACGAATGTGCTTGAGATTTGAAACAGAGCCTTTTGCTCTGAGGGGCCCATTTACTTACAGGAGATTCTGCTTGGTCTCCTATGGTGGCTTTTGCCACTCAACAAGGCTGCTGAGGCCCTGGATGCTTATGTCATCGGAAAAGGGACAATATCAACCTCTCATTGTAGGAAACACTGAAAAGAGTTCAAGGTACTGTTTTGCTCTGATGAGCTCTGTACCACTAGGCAGCTCGAATCAACAGTTTCCAAGTACATATCAGCCCTCTTTAGTTTCTCATCGCATGATCCTTTCTAGAGTTTCACATTTTCCTGACAGGGAAAAAGAGCAGTTCCTCTGCTGAGATGTACAGGTAGCAGACACCCTGAGAAAATTATGACATATACTCATAAAGATACTTCAGCAGAAATATCAAGGTCTGAGGTAAACACAGTAAAATAAATTTTGCATAAATAAAACAAAAATAAGCACACCAAGGGTAGAATCCCTTGGGTTTAATAAGACAAGTAGTAGTGCAGGTTCTTGCACTTGACAACGTGGTCAGAAAAAGGCTCAGTCAGCTGCTATGTATGATGCCACCCAGGCAGGCAGGCACACTGCACTGTGTCACATGGCCCCATGCCTGATTTGCACACCTTGATTTAAGAACCAGTTATGCCACAGCCAAGGGAAGGATCCTTGGAGTCTCTGACCAAGTCCAATCGGACCCAGAGACCCACACATGTTAAACATCTTTTCGTCCAAACCGTTTCCTGTTGGACCCTTTCCCAGAAATACTTACGAAGCAGGTGCCATTCATCCTGCTGAATTGTCTTGGTTAAATTGAAAGGAATGTTTCGCAAGCGGATTGGCTGAGAAAAGTGGTACTTGATGGCTGTGCATCGCTGCGCAATACCTTGAAGGAAATACAAAATGAGATTTACTAGTCTGTTCATTTGTAATGGAACTCTGGAGACCTGAGGCTGAGTAATTTACCCTAAACTGACTGAATGGGAGAGGGGACAGGAACCTCCTGATTACTCTCATTAACAGAGGAAAGTCAGAACTATAAAAACCTAAAAGATGAAATATTTTTTCAAATCACATTTCATTTTTTTAATATATTAAGTTTTATAAGGATCTATATAGTCCTTTAAATGTTTTTCAGTAGAAGGTCTGTCTGGAGTAAACACAAAACTACTCAAGGTGAAATGGCCTAAGTATAGAGATGGTTGGGAGAAATCAGTCTAAAATTTTAAGATTAACACATAAATTACAGTTCTAAATTTAATTCAGTGTCAAATTCTCAAATGGGTTGATCAAAAATTTATTATGGAATTCTGGGAGGCTGAGGCAGGAGGATCACAAGTTCAAGTCCCACCTGGGTAAGTTAGCAACTTAACAATACCCTATCCCAAACTAAAAAATATAAATTAAGTAAAAAGAGCTGGGGCCCCAGTTCAGTGCAAAGGCCCCATAACTCCATCCCTAGAACAAAAAGATTCATTAGGAAGTATGTTATCTAGACACCAGAAGACAGTTTCCAAAAATAACTACATCTACATGGTAGGCTTAGGTGGTGATTATATTGCCACACAAAAGCCTAATTTTAGCCCCTTTAACCCTTCAGCAGCTGATCTTTCCTTAATATGAATGTTACAGACTTGAATTATAGATCTGAGTGAAGTAATCATGAATTATGGATCTTGAGTAATGCTAAAATAGAGAAGACAAAGAAAAAATTTTCCTCACTTTATCTGGTTGCATGGTCAGCCCTAGACAGAATATTCCGGCTGGGCAAACACATCCATCATTTCATCTGGGTACCCTCCTCCTCCTAATTCAGGGCCCATGCTTTTATTACATAAATAAAAACAGACCTATCATTCTTCTAAAGCCTTCTCGATCCCATGAAAGGTATCAGCCTTTTCTAAACAACAGACAAAAAAATCCTTTCTCATTGTAAATCATCAGCCAGTTGTTTGAATAAATGCAATTTCATTAAACTAATTTTGAGAAAGGTGTGAGTGTTCTTTAACCCTGGCAGCTGTCAAGAAAAGCACCCTCAGAAATGCAAATAAATCTCTAATTACTGGAATTTGGGTAAATATTAAAGTGAAGTGAAAATTTTTAAAATTGCGACAATGAAGGAAGGAGATTACTATTCAAGACACAAACAGGTCAAAAGCAAAGGAAGAGTAATCAAAAGAGAGATGATATGGCTATACTAATATTGGCTAAAGCAGACTCTGAGACAAATATTATCACAAAAGACAAAGAAAGATATTTTATAATAGCAACAGGGTCAATATGTTAAGAAGATAAACTAATATAAACATATGTATATATATCAACACAATCCCAAAATACATGCAGCAAACACTGATATACTGAAAGGAGAAATGGACAACTCAGAAGTATTTGTGGTAGAATTTTGTGATGGTAGAACAACTAAAGAGGGTATTGAGGAAACAGAGGACATGAGCAACACAATAAACCAACTAAACACAATAGATGTCCTTAGAATGCTCTACCCATGGGCTGGGGATTTAGCTCAGTGGTTCCACTGCCTGCCTCACAAGCACAAGGACCTGAGTTCAATTCCCGGTACCAAAAAAAAAAGAACACTCTACCCAACAATATCAGAACACGCATTCTTCTGTGCACACAGAACAGTCTCCAGGACAGACCATATGTTAGACAATAAACTAAATCTCAAGAAATCAAGGAGCACTAAATTCACAAAAAGTATATTCTCTTACCACAACACAATGATTACAAATCAATAACTTATATGAGAATACTGTGAAAAATTATATCCCAACAAATTAAGGCAAATGAAATAAACAAATTTCTAAAGACACAAGCTCTAAGCCTGACTCAAGAAGTAATGGAAAATCTGAATACATCTATAGCATGTGAAGAAATTGAGTTAGTCATTAACTTAGTAAAAATTTCCCACAAGGAAAAGACCAGATAGCTTTGGTAGTGAATTTTACCAAATATTTCGAGAAGATTTAATAATCCTTCATAGATTTTTTTAAAAAGGAAAAGAAATAGAAGATGACTTATTGTCTAAGTCATTTCATGAGGCCAATATTTATCTGATATAAAACCAGATATAAAAAGGGAAATTACATAATATTCCTTGTGAATATGCATGCAAAAATCCTTACTACTATATGAGCAAACTGAATTTAGCAGCATTTAAGAAGATTGCTACATCATGACCAAGTGAGATTTAACTCAGGAGTGCAAGATTGGCTTACTATATGAAAATCAATGACCGCCATATACCATATCAATAAATATGAAGGATATATCTGGAGGACTGAAACCACCTGATCATCTCAAAGACAAAGAAAATGCATTTTATAAAAATTTTTAAGCCAAACGTGGTGGTGCACACCTGCAATCCCAGCATTTAAGAGGATCACCAGTCAGGGCTAGCCTGAACTATACAGAAACACCCTGTCTCAAAAAAAAGCAAAAACTAAAAGCAAACAAACACACAAACCAAAAACCCATTCAGTATTCATCAATGGCACTTTGAGGTAGAATACTATTACTTCCACTAAACAAACAAATAAACAAAAAATCTGAAGCTCAGAAAGGTTAAGTAATTAGCCTGGGCCCGCAGTACTAAGTAATAACCAAGCTTTAACATATATGCTGTTACTCAAACTTTTTATACTACTCACTCAGTTAGAATCCTTAGTTAGAAGTCCTTAATCTTTTAGAAATGCATCTTAATTCCGTAGGTAAAGCTGTAGTTCTAAACTACACTCATAATCTTAATTTTGTTTAAATGTCCAGTTTTGTAACAACATATACTCTTTCGGAAACAAAGCTGTTCCTAATCAGAGGTTCTGTTTGCATGTTGTCCACATCTTCCTACATATGGTATTTGGAGACTGGATTAGCTACAGTGTTGACTTATGGCTTCACCGCATCTGTACCTCACAAAGATGTTTAATGCTGGAGATGAGGTTGGACTGAGGAGAAGTGGTTCCCTTAAGACTCAGAGGAGCTGGCCTTAGTACAACTTCTGTGCTAGGAAAATGTGTGGCCCCTTTCAACTAACTGCAAAGATTCCTGGTGCTCATTTCCTCCTTGGCCCTTGCTGATAACGGTCAGAAAAGCAGGCAGGGAGTATAGCAGGAAGAAGGCAGACAGCTGGCCCCATGTTCTCCTACTCCCCAGGGTCCCCTCCCTGTGCCAGGAATGAGGTAAGCAGTGCATACGTCACCAAATGGCCTTTCCTTCCTCAAGCTAAACTTAAAGTGCCAAGAATTCTAAAGTGAGAAGAGAAAACAGATAAGGGAGAGAATCAGAGCTACAGAGTAACAAGCAGCTCAGAGAGCCCAAAGATGGAGGCGGGGGTCTGGTGGTGAGCCCAGAGCGCCTTGGCTGAGTTTGCAAGAAAATGTCACATGATCTTGGAAGGTGATTCGAGAGGTCAGCAGAATTAGAAGAGAAAGTGGGAATAAAGAACAGATCAGCAGCAAAGTCAAAGACCAGCCATTAGCTTTTCATGTCCTTGTTCTTAAACACCTGTTCCACTGTCACTGCAGAAAGTCAAACAGGAAAGTATGTTATCAAGGGTTGGCCTCCTACAGCACCCGCATAAAACTGAAGAAATGAAACCTGACAAAAATCACACTAGAAAAGCCCTGGAACTGCCTGAAGGCTTGCCAACAACAAAGTAGGTCCTTCAGATAAAAAGACAAATACACGTAGACAATGCACCTAGATAGGGGTGAAGACAAAAGTCCAGGCAATGTTCTGTTAATGCACGATACTGCAAAGATCCACAAGGAGGCGGTAGAGTCCAATGTTTTCAAAGCCACACATGCAAACTGAAATTAACCCAGCTTTCTGGGTTTGGATAGCAATGAATCTGGTTCTCTGAAAAGGAACGCAAAACACATGAGCTCATAGCACCAGATGGCATCACACAGTGGGGGGAAGAAACATGCAGAGGACTGAAAAGAACAAGTTGTGGTCTATATTTAGTGATTAATTAGCTTCTTAAAGGGCCAAGTAGAGCCACCAGAACAATGACATAAATCACAGAATAAGATATATAAGTATGCTGCACAGGGGTGGGGAACAGAGCTTTCGCTCTGGTGGATTTTTGGTTGCCAATGCTAAGAGAAATGATCTAGTTCCAAGGAAGGTCAGAAACTGACACTGGATTTTAAATGAGGGAAAAACATGGGAAGCAAGAAGATGCTATAAAAAGTCACTATTATCAATCAGTGATAAAGCAGTATATGAATTGTGATTGAAAAATACAGTAAACTTTTAAACTTAAAAATATGATTACAATAAAAGACAAATCGCCATAATTTCCCCAAGGTACCTCCCTCCTTCAAACACGCGTTTCTCACGTGATTCTAAACATCTACCTTGGGATGTGGAAAAAGTCAAAAGTCACACGGTGCCAGATCCAGTGGGTAAGGTGAATGAGAACACACTGTCATGTGTTTATGAGCCCACTTTCCTCTGAATGATAAGCAACAGCAGTGTATTTACAGTGGGTTTTTTTAATCACACTTCATAAAGACACTCACAAAAGAGGACTTCCAGAACTGCATCAGAAAGTAGCACAAACGATGGAATAAGCATGTTGGAAGTGAGAAGTATTCTGAAGAGGGGTTAATGGCCATGTAATTATTTTTGAAAAATTTAAACAGTCACTGTATATTTTGGCCACCATTTGGACATGACGTTTAAAGCCCATGAGGTCAGACTTTGCTTTGAATCCCAGCTATGTGACTTTGGCAAATTACATAATTTCTCTGAGGCTAGGTTCTCCTCATCTGCTTAAAAAAAAAAAAAAAAAAA